CGGTATTTTTTGCAATATGATAATCTTCTATGATTACCAGCTCCATCTAATAGCCATAATGAATGCAATATTTTTCTAAAATACCTCAAATAAAAAAGTACCTCATTATGGCAGCTAGATGGAGCTGATGATCATAGGAGATAATCATATGACAAACAGTATGGTGATAATTCGTTGTGACATTCACACAGTACATTTTATACACATATATACCCCTTACAGTGCACCAGATCATATAGAGATACACTATATTTCCAAAAAGTATTGTCCCCACCCTCCAAATCATTGGATTCAGGTGTTCCAATCACCTCCATGGCCATAGGAGGCCCCTAGCCTCACGCCCTAGGCATGCAGACTGCTTCTATAAACATTGGTGAAAGAATGGGTCGCTCTCAGGAGCTCAGTGACTCCAAGCGTGGTCCCGTGATAGGTGGCCACCTGGGCAATAAGTCCATCCGTGACATTTCCTGGCTACTAAATATTCCACACTCAACTGTTAGTGGGATTATAACAAAGTGGAAGCAACTAGGAACAACAGCCACTCAGCCACCAAGTGGTAGGACAGGTCACATGACAGGGCAGAGTCAGCACATGCTGAAGCGCACAGTGCGCAGAAGTCGCCAACTGTCTGCAGAGTCAATAGCTAAAGACCTCCAAACTTGGTGTGGCCTTCAGATGAGCCCAACAACAGTGCGTAGAGAGCTTCATGGAATGGGTTTTTATGGCCAAGCAGCTGCTTCCAAGCCTTCCATCACCAAGTGCAATGCAAAGCGTCAGATGCCATGGTGTAAAGCACGCCGCCACTGGACTCTAGAGCAGTGGAGACGTGTTCTCTGGAGTGACCACTCTTCTGTGTCTGGCAATCTGATGGACGTGTCTGGGTTTGGCAGTTGCCAGGAGAACGGTACTTGCCTGACTGCAATGTGTCAAGTGTAAAGTTTGATGGAGGGGGGATTATGGTGTGGGGTTATTTTTTTAAGGGTTGGATTTGGCCCCTTAGTTCCAGTAAAGGGAACTCAAGACATTTTGGACAATTTCATCAGTGCCTAATCTCACAAATGCGCTTCTGGAAGAAGGGTCAAACATTGCCATAGACCTTGTGGGCGGCCTTTCCAGAAGAGTTGAAGCTGTTATAGCTGCAAAGGGCGGGGCCAACTCAATATTGAACCCTACGGACTAAGACTAGGATGCCATTAAAGTTCATGTTTGTGGAAAGGCAGGCGGCCCAATACTTTTGGCAATATAATGTGTGTATCTGCTTCACATCTCTGTTTTACTTTCCCCAAGTAGGCTTTCTCCTCATTCTTCCTCCACCAAACAAGGATCTTGCTCCAGTTACTTGGGTTTGTTTATACCCACCTACATCCAATCTGATCTGATCTGCTAAAAAAAAAAAACGGAAGGGGATCCATCTGCATCAATCTAGGTGGATGGGATCAGAAGGCAATTGGGTGTAAGTAGATAGTAGAGTCAGTTTACACCCAACCGCCCAAAGAGCTCTGACCAACAGGGGATTAGCAGACAGATCTCCCGCTGCTCTCACTGAAGTCAGCCTCCTGTGAAAAGGGCCTAATAATCAAATAAAACAACAAGAATATTTTGATAGTGCACAATGCCTTTTATTATATTTTTTTATATTTTAAAAATTTTAAAAAAAAATAATTTTTTTTTACATTTAAATAAGATGTGCTGTTTTCATTTGATTAAGCAGCTGGGTAGGACCCTAAAAATGTTGGATATAATATAGAGTTGTCCCCATTCAGAAATTTGTGGCTTAGCAAGGGTGAAGTTCCCATTGTTAGCGCTTAAAAATGATGGACCAAAACCTTATTTTTGGTTCGAGTTGTTTTTTTCTTGCCCGTTCCTCTTCTTTCCTTATCTGTTCTTCTTGTTGGGCCAGCTTGGCATTGTGGAAGTGGTTGAGGAGGAATGATCGATGGCCTATCCGATCCCTCTTTGGGTTTCTTGGCTGCTCCATAAGATATTTGGCATTTTTTAGAGCGCTGTCCATGAACATCAGGATGTCTGTTGTCCTTCCCAGAGTTCTCATGTGGTCATCCTTTGTGTAGTTCTCAACAGCTATCACCACCTCGGCCTGCATACGCTGGAACGTTTTCTCCAGCATTGTATAATCAGCTCTGTGTTTATTTGTAAGGACGATAATGGGGTACATTCCTAGAAAAATCAACAATTTTGGGGTTCAATAAAATACCACACATGGCAGGGCCATGATTAGACATCATACACAGAGATGACACCCTCTTATACAAGTTCCTCATCTTGTGTCATTATGATATGGAAAACTAATGCTAGAATGAGCTATTGTCTTCTATGTAGAGATACTCTTCTGCCCTATAGACCACCAAACAGGAGAGATGGTTTCATGTTCCCCGCACTATAAAGAGCCTTCTAAATTCTGTCACCATCCCCCGCAATCTCCTACACGTAATGAAACGGGAAGAAATTGGGATCAGTTTACTGTGGTCTTACATTTTGAGTTTAGCCCCCTCTAACCCTGCTGCCGTAAAACTGGCCTACAAGGGCCACTGTGGTAAATTCAACCAAGAAGTTGACTATTTTGGTATAATTTGTCAGATTTTTTTTTTGTATAAATAGCCCAAGAGCAGTTTTTTTTTTTTTATAGCTCAAAAAATTTATCAAATACCACCAAAAGAAATCTCCATTTGTGGGGAAGTAAAGAAATACATTTCATTTGGGTGCAGCGTTGCATGACCGAGCAATTGTCAGTTAAAGTAACGCAGCGTCGTATTGCAAAAAATGGCCTGGTCGGGGGGGGGGGGGGGAATCCTCTGGAGGGCAAGGGGTTAATTTATCATTTCACACTCTAACCGATGTGCAAAAGGAAATGTTGGGTCTACGCCTCACCTTTTTGTCCAACCCAGGAAATTAACAATTTTGAAATGGTGAAAGATCTTAATCTCTGCATGAAAACTCACTTATAAATTTTATTTTTGATGATGATCGTAAGAAATAGAAACCTGATAGAGAATTGATGGAAACAGTGGAAAAAATTCACTTCCTGTGATTTTTGTGGATCTTTTGGAAGAAAATGAAGATTCCTTAGACCCTCCCCCTTCTTCTCCCCCGGGACTCCATTGACCGATCCTCAGGAGGGGACGATTCTTCCCTTGATACATACAAGTCTACCAGGAATTCCAAAGAGGATTTTATAAACTAAACAGCTACTGATATTTTTAATATTAAAAAGAAATCTGAAACTTTTCCTCCTTACAAACAAATCCAAACATACTGTACGTTTGTCGTACGTTTGTATGAAGCTATCTAATTCCGAAACGCGTTGATGTATCTGGATTTGGACAAGCATGTGCATATACAATAATTACCTTACAGAAGTGTGCGTATACATTCGGGTTAGCTGATCTACAGGTCCAGTAGAGGATATTTGTAAAGAATCTGATTTTAAGTATCTACATGTGCTTTTTAATATATAAGAGATTGTATTCATAATAAATGTTTTTTGTTCTATAATTTATGTCTCATGGTGTGCCTATAAAGTCCATATTTTAATAGGAGTTGGCGGAGATCTTTTTTTCTCCTCCAGTTTCTTTTCCTTTTTTTCTGTTTCATTATTTTGGATGTGGCACTCTGAAAGTCTCTAGCTCATTACTTAGCTTTATACAAAGTAACACAATTATTCTCTGAAGACGCAGGTAACCATTATTTATTCATTTGGCAGTTCAAACAGCTTCTATAAAACTGTATGTATTTCATCTGATGAAGTCACGTGCTGGGCGTGACGCAACGCGTCGGTACGTTGGGAGGAGCTTCGTTTAACGCAGTGACGTCATTTCCGGCGTGGGGGCCATATTGGATCACCCTGTTTGTATTACCCATGCAGTACACCCATAGCATGCGGTAGGAAGCTGGATGAAATCGTTACTTATGTGAGTGGAACTCTATTTTATCTGTCTATCGCATAATTAAAACTGGTTGCACTATGGAGGGTCTCTGTTTGTGTTTTATTATGACCCTGGGAGGAGCTGGCTGCTAACCTGGTAAATGCTGGAGGTGGAAAGTGAAACCCAGAGAGAAATCCATTCTGATAGGATTGTTTGATCCTTAAAGCGTGTGTGGCCCTGTGGGGTCTAAGTAAGGAGGTGAGGGGGCATTTTAGCCCTTAAAGGATTGGCACGTGTGAATCACGCCCACTGCACATTATTCTTGCATGAAGAGTGGAGTGGGAAGACCACCACAAAGTCTTGCATTTGTTATCAATTGTTTGGACTTTTTTGTTTTTGAATATTGGTTCACTTATTTTGTAGCACTGTTGGACGTTTTTTCACTTGCTTTGAGCACTATATTGTTTTATGAGTATATTTGTCACTTTTTGCACTGTATATTCCCTATGAGGGATTACACGCATGACACTACCATATAATCATCTATAATCTGAAGGGGTATATATTGAGTTTATGTATTTTATTCACTGGATACTTCTATTTATTATTTATTAGCGCTGCACTGTTTATTTTATTGTATATATAGTTGTTAATTTTGACTGGTGAAGCTTTAATTGTATATTGATTATTATTTTTATATATTCTAAGAGTTCTGATTTAACTCATATTTACCTGTCATGAGCCGACAGTTCCTGATAAAAGAAGACAGTTCACCCATGCCTTGTTCTGGAAGCAAATCTTTGACACTGTAGTAGACATAAATCGTTAAAGCACAAATCAAATGGGCCAAAAAAACCCAAAACTAAATATTTTATTAGATGACAAAGAAATGGAGGTGTTTCCATAAATGTTTAGCCATCAAAACTACATGTCAATTCTTTCTGTGTGAATGCAACAAAATCAAATGTTCACAGGCTATGCTCTCTGCAGATGAAATGTGTGTATCACATACCTGGTGAACCCGAAAGTACAGGGTGACCAATGGGAGTTAGATGGTTTTGATAAAAAACAGTACTCCGTAGATTTTCAACTAAAAATGTATTTATTTTTACAAAAATAGAGGTCAAAACATGCCATTTGAGTTACTTAACCTCCCTGGTGGTATTCCCGAGTGTAGCTCGGGGTAAAGTTTCAGCACCACAAGCGGTAACCCCCCCCCCCCAGCTACACTCGGGAATACACTGCAGCGTTGCTCCGGGATCTCTTCTGCACTTACCTTGTCCTGGGCTCCCGCGATGTCCCCCCTGCAGTGTCCCCCCTGCAATGCCCCCTCTGCAGTGTCCCTGGCAATGTCCTCCGGCATCTGTCTTCCGGGTTCCGTTCCGTTCGGGGGACGGACCGGAGGGAAATTTTAAAATTTTAAAAGTGACATTCACTAAAATCACATAGTATAACATTCCTGTATCAAACCATTTCAAATACATTTTGTCCCGAGTGCTTTGTCCGGCGCCCTGCCTGCATTTTTACTGTTCTTTCTGCCTGGAAACTGAGAAACGTCCATGGCGTCCAAAAAGCGTCCCTTTAGGCCAAAATCAGTTTTAGACCGGCTAGAGAACAGCGATAGTAAATCAGAACCACTTGCAGAATTGAGTGATAATGATTGGTGGGGGAAATTCCTCATCAGACACTGAAAACGATTCTGCGACTGAGCTCAGCGATGTGCGAACTTGGCGCTCTATTTCACATTTCAGTGTTTTTGGTTTGATTATATTATTGAATTACATTTATTATTATTATATTATTATTTTTTATGATTATTTATTAAATTATAATTTATGATTTCGTGTTTCAAATTTTATCATCCCCGGGATGTTTACTAGACTCTTGTTCGGACAGATTTCAGTGAGTTATTCCTAAAAAGTACAGCCTACAATAAAAAAAAACGACATATTTCCATTGAAAACAATGTACCGCTTTGAGCACAGAAATATGGACATAATCAGACCGCTAGGGAGGTTAATCAGTAATGAAAAATAATGTCATTTAGATGGCTACCACCCTCTTTGAATGCAGCTTTCAATCCTTCGCTTGAAATTGTCCATCTCTCAGGCCAACAGCTGTTGATCAATCGTGAGCACTTCTTGTCGGATGGCATCCTTCAATTAATTCAAACTACAGGGTTTATGAGTGTACACACGGCTCTTCAGGTACCCCCACAGAAAGAAATCACATGATGGCCAAGTCAGGAGATCTTGGGGGCCATGGCACTTTTTTTGAGGAACTTCCATTGGTGGGTTGGCAGTATGCGCTCTGGTACCATCCTGCCGATATACCACTGTGCTGGCGTAGAGCCCCATTGGCACTCCGGATAGTAGGAATGCCAGCATAAGTAAAACTGATCTGATGAGCAATCTACATTTTATCTTGAAACTGCCGCTCCCATTATCTGATCCTAATATGGATGTATACATGTGAGCTCCTCGGGCCATGGCCCTTGACATGTTTCGCCCCACCTAGGGGTCCCTTGTGATTACGCCTTGGTGGGTGGGGTGAAACGGGATGGGAAATTACTGTAACCAATCCCCTGTATGGCTCTCTCTGCAGCAGCTGAAAGCCAGCAGGAGGGAGAGAAGAAGCCAGCTGTCAGCTGCTGTAGGGAGAGCCATACAGGTGATCGTTCCAGTAATTGCCCGTCCTGCCTTGCCGATCGCCCTCCCTGCCCACATCCTGTTCACCCAGCTGCCTGGGCCCCCCCTGTAGGCTTGGTCCCCATACAGGTGGTACTCCCTTATCCACGGCCCTGACGAACTAGAATAGTACATCTAACACTGCCTCTTCGCTTAGAAGTAGGAGCATGTGGCATAGGCCCATACTGGTTTTCTGGTGCTGGGAATCTGGTTTTTCCTTACAGTGTGAATGTGGAAAATACCGCATTACAGCCACAAGATGGAGCTGAGGAGCATACTTATTTCCTGATATACTCTGCACCATCTAGTGGCCATATTGAAGTAATTTTTCCTATTCGTTCAATCTGCAGAAATGATAGTCGGTGAACATTTGATTTTGCGCCATTAGCACAGAACAATTTTGATGCTGTTTGTAATGAACAAACAACTATGCAATTAAAAAAAAAATACACACCAGTGACTTTTTTTTTTTTTAACTATAAAACAGATGAGCTCTCACCTATAGACAAAGACAGGATGATGAGGTCACTTTCATTGGGTTCCATCTCTGCTTCCTCCAGATACTTGACCACCTCGCTGTAACTCTCTCTCCACACCACCTCATTGTCAAGAGGAAGGAAGTTACCTAAAAGACAACACACAGAACTAAATATATTGAACGTAAAGTGTTTGTAAAGGCTGAAGGTTGTTTTATCATTCTATGCATGAAGGTAAAAAAACGTTCTGTGTATAGCAGCTCCCCCAGCCCGCCTCAATACTTACCTGAGCCCCATCGATGTGCACAACAGCCATGGCTGTCCCCGGGTCTCTGTTTCCTCATTGGCTGAGACAGCAAGCGGGAGCCATTGGCTCCCGCTGCTGTCAAACACAGCCAATGAGGAAGAGAGCAGGTGCGGACAAGGCATGGCTCCATGTGTGAATGGACACACAGAGCAGAGGGGCCCCCATAGCAATCTGATTGTTCTGAGGGGCAGCCAACAAACAGGAGGAGCCAGGAGAGCCTGTGGGGGACCGAGAAGAGGAGGATCTAGGCTGTTGTGTGCAAAACCACTGAACACAGCAGGTAAGTATAACATGTTTGTTATTTTACAAAACAAATTAACCTTTACAATCTCTTTAAACCACTTGAGCTCCAGAGGATTTACCCCCCTTAATGACCACGCCTTTTTTTGCTGTTTGGCGGTGCACTAATTCAAATGATAACTGCGCGTCAGCAATGCTGTACCCAAACAAAATTTACGTCCTTTTTTTCACACAAATAGAGCTTTCTTTTGGTGGTATTTGATCACCTGTGCGCTTTTTATTATTTTGCGCTTATAAACAAAAAAAACACGAAAATTTTGAAAAAAAACAATATTTTCTACTTTCAGCTATAAAAAATATATCGTAAACTTAAAGTTAGTCATAAATTTAAGCCAAAATGGATTCTGCTCCATGTTAAATTTTGGTAAAAAAAATCCCGTGCACTAGCGGGCAAACTGGCGCTATCTAGGAGGGGCTCTAACACTATCGGAAGTCACCAGCGACACTAATACAGTGATCAGTAAAAATCTGTTCACTGTAATCAATGACACTGGTGACAGGGCAGTGAAGGGGTCAACTCGGGGGGGGGGGGGGCGATCAAGGGGTTAGACGGGATTAATTGGTGCACTAGCGGGCAATCTGGCACTATCTGGGAGCGGCGCTAACACTATCGGAAATCGTCAGCGACACTGATACAGTGATCGGTAAAAATTGGTTCACTGATCAGTGACACTGGTGAAAGGGCAGTGAAGGGGTTAACTGGGGGGGGGGGGGGGGGGGGCGATTAAGGGGTTTAAATGGGAATTACTGGTGTACTGGCGGGCAATCTGGTGCTATCTGGGAAGGGGGCGCTAACACTATCGGAAGTCGCCAGCGACACTGATACAGTGATCAGTAAAAATCTGTTCACTGATCAGTGACACTGGTGACAGGGCAGTGAAGGGGTTAACTGGGGGGGCGATCAAGGGGTTAAACGGGATTACTGGTGTACTGGCGGGCAAACTGGCGCTATCTGGGAGGGCGCTAACACTATCGGAAGTCGCCAGCAACACTGATACAGTGATCAGTAAAAATCGCTTCACTGATCAGTGACACTGGTGACGGGGCAGTGAAGGGGTTTAACTGGGGGGGGGGGGGCGCGATCAGGGGTTAAATGTGTCCTAGGTGTGTTCTAACTGTGGGTATGTTGCTGTTTTACTCACTTTTTACTGTGTCTTCTTCTCTGTCTGGAACGGAATGTGTCCAGGCAGAGAAGAATGACATCATATCCTGTCCTGTGTAAATGTCAACACAGGACAGGATAGGACAGGGACCGATCATGTGTGATTTCAGCCAGAAAATCACTGTCCTGAAATCTAATCATTGATCCCTCCTGGATCGAATCGTGTCACCGCCGCGGGGTCGGCGGGAGCACGCTTGCTTGCCGCAGCCCCCTAATGCGAAAGTGTCGGGAGCGCGGAGCCTGTTTTAAAACGTGGTTTTGCGCTCCACTGCCGCCCTGCACACGTATATACACAGTGGCAGGGCGGCAAGCGGTTAAAGTAGAACTATAGACAAAACTTTTTTTTTTTTTTAATTTTGGATAGAGTAAGGGAGAGTTATAACCACTGTCAGTTTATTTTTGCCATCTGTGTCCCTTCATTACCTGTCCCAATAGTCAAAACAGGAAGTGAGAATATCTCTCCAAATTAAGAGAATCCCTTGGGCCCCCCCCCCCCCCCCCCAGGTCACCAGAACTAGTGTCCCCATTGGAAGATTCCCCCTCTATTACTTTTCTGGGGACAACCCAAAGTTTGGGATTTCTTTTTCAATGATAATGGTAAACAGGACAAACTAGAGAGGAGGAACCTTCCTAACGGGGACACAGGGAGCACTTCAAATTTGATAGGTGTTCTAATCCATCTCCATTCTGTCTGAAACAAAAGCTAAAAAAAAAGTTTTGCCTTTACTTATACTTTAATATAAGATCTGTAGTAGTTTAATCACTACGGAAAGGCTACAGTAGAGCAGGCAATGTATTCAAACTGCTGGGCAGTGCAGTGTGCATGCAATGTTTTGTGGTGAGCTACATCTACAAAAAAGATTCACGTTCATTTTTTTTGCTGCGTTGTGGTACATTGACCGCCCATATCAAAATGAAGGACTCCCTTAAACTCAACGCATGCTACCAAGGATGTGCTAATACGCCCCAACACAATTCTAAGGTATGAAAGGGGGCATTAAGGGGGCTTGTGTGTAAAGGACTTTAATGCCCAAACCAAAGGTTTTACACACCATTCTACTTTTAGCTCAATGGTAAATCAACATTTAATAATATTTTCTCATATTTATTATATATTTCAATTATAAATGTATAATAATATTTATAAAATGTATAAATATACAGAGCCTTGAAAAAGTATTCCTACCCCCTGAAATGGCCCCCATGTTGTCATGTTACAATGTATTTATTGGGATTGGATGTGACAGACCAACACAAAGTGGCACATAGTTGTGAAGTGAAATGAAAATGAGAAATGGTTTATCAACATTTGTGACCAATAAATCTGTGAAAAGTGTGGCAGCATTTGTATTCAGCCCCCGGAGTCAATACTTTGTAGGACCCCCTTTTGGCTGCAATTCCAGCTGCATCTTTTTGGGGATGTCTCTCCCAGCTTTGCACATCTATAGAGGGACATTTCTGCCCATTCTTCTTTGCAAAATCACTCAAGCTCTGTCAGATTGGATGGAGAGCATCTGGGAACAGACATTTTCAAGTCTTGCCACAGATTCTCCATTGGATTTGGGTCTGGACTGTGACTGGGCCATTCTAACCCATGAAGATGCTTTGATCTGAACCATCCATTGTAGCTCTGGCTGGATATTTATGGTCGTTGTCCTGCTGGAAGGTGAACCCCCGCCCCAGTCTCAAGTCTTCTGCAGACTCTAACAGGTTTTCTTCTAAGATTGCCCTGTATTGGGCTCCATCCATCTCCTCATTAACTCTGACTATCTTCCCTGTCCCTGCTGAAGAATAGCAATCCCACAGCATCCCTAACAAACCCTCTGAGGGCCTCACAGAACAGCTGTATTTATACTAAGATTAACCTCCCTGGCGGTATTCCCGAGTGTAGCTCGGGGTAAATTCAGTACCACAAGCGGTAACCCCCCCCCCCCCCCCCGAGCTACACTCGGGAATACCATGCGGCGCTGCTCCCCGATCCCTCAGTCACTTACCTTGTCCTGCGCTCCCGCGATGTCCCCCTGCAGTGTCCCCGGCAACATAATCCGGCGGTATGCCGGCATCTGTCATCTGGGTTCCGTCCCCTGCGAGCGTCGGGACATACGGGGGACGGAACGGCGGAAATTTGAAAATGTCAAAAAGTGACATTCACTAAATACAGTAAAATCACATAGTATAACATTCCTGTATCAAACCATTTCACATACATTGTGTCCCGAGTGCTTTGTCCGGCGCCCTGCCTGCATTTTTACTGTTCTTTCTGCCTGCAAAACTGAGAAAACGTCCATGGCGTCCAAAAAGCGTCCCTTTAGGTCAGATGCGGTTTTAGACCGGCTAGAGAACAGCGATAGTAAATCAGAACCACTTGCAGAATTGAGTGATAATGATTGGTGGGGGAAATTCCTCATCAGACACTGAAAACGATTCTGCGACTGAGCTCAGCGATGTGCGAACTTGGCGCTCTATTTCACATTTCAGTGTGTTTTGGTTTAATTATATTATTGAATTAAATTTATTATATATATTATTATTTTTTATATTAATATTTATTAAATTATAAATTTATGATTTTGTTTTTCAAGTTTTATCCTACCCGGATGTTTACTAGACTCTTGTTCGGACAGATTTCAGTGAGTTATTCCTAAAAATTACAGGCCTACAATAAAAAAAGACATATATCCATGCAAAAATAATGTACCACTTTAAGCACAGAAATATGGACATAAACAGACCCAGCCAGGGAGGTTAAATGATACACAGGTGGACTCTACTGACTAATTAGGTGACTTCTGAAGGCAATTGGTTCCACTAGATTTTAGTTAGGAGTATCAGAGTAAAGGGAGCTGAATACAAATGCATGCGCCACACTTTTCAGATATTTATTTGTAAAACATTTTGAAGACCATTTATCATTTTCTTTCCACTTCACAATTATGTGCCACTTTGTTGTGGTCTATCACATAAAATCCCCATAAAATACATTGATGGTTTTGGGGTGTAAAATGACAAAATGTGGAAAATTTCAAGGGGTAATGAATACTTTTTCAAAGCACTCTAATACATTTATAAATAGTTATAATACTTTTTTCAGTAAAGAAGTGGGCTAACCTGCAGCACTCACAAACCATCCCTCAACTTAATTACAATATAATGACTCCTGATTGGCTGCAGTAGGTTGGTTGCGCTTTGTGCCTCACTCCATCCTGTTCAATAAACCCATTCCAGTTTAGGCCATACACATACATGGTGTTTCACTGTGTTGGAATGGCAGTGACAGGGATCGGGTATTTGCTCAATGTGTGTGACCTTTCTAGATAAAAATACATCAGCTGTTTGTAATCTTGAAAGTTTGCTTCTTGTTGGCTATTTTTAGTTATTATATCTAAAGGGCGTATTTGGCAGTGTTCATGCGCCAATGACACTTCTCCCACTCAACACGGGCTATAGAAAGTATTCTAGATCAACCAGTGCCCTTCTTGCTGTCTGCCTCTCGAAATTGGTCCAAGTCTCTATCATAATCTAGAATATAAATGACTCAAATGTCAAATTTGCTCTAATACAAATGAACTGAAAAACTCGGAAAATATTAGGCCAACAAATCAGTTACATAGTTAGTCTGGTGCTGAAAAACGGGAGAACGCAAAAGTCCATGGTCCAGTTTCAAAAGCCATAAAAAAACAAAAATAGTTATCAATCACTAGGATTTATACGCGGCACGCGGTTAGATTTGATCCAGAGGAATAAGCAAAAAAAGACTCACGAGCAATAGCACGATCCATACTTTGGCTCCCTGGCAGGGGTAAATAAACTCCTTCTTTCCTGATGAGCCCCGAGATGGAAATCAGGGGAATATTCCTTCTGGAATCTAACTTTACCTATTAGGGAATGATGTTAATTTATATCCATTTTGTGTTAATATTTAATGTTATCACAAGAAAGAAATGACCCTTGACTGTTCCTACAGCAACATCCAGTATTATTTATTTTGTTTTTTTGTTTTAGTTTGTTGTTTTTTTGGGGTTTTTGTATTGTGATATAACAAGGTTATGTATTATGACAGAGAATGTGGGGATTTGTCCCCCCACCCTTATGTCTTATACATTTTGGAGATCATAGCTCCCCCCTTTGATGGAGGTATTATACAGGAGATCAAATTTCCCTTATGGTATTTATACATGGAGATCATATCCCCCCCTTATGTATTATAAACATGGATGCATGTCATATCCCACCCCATTATGTATTATACATTGAGTATCTCATATCCCCCCCAGTTATGTATTTTCGGTATACATGAGATCATATCCCCCCCTTATGTATTAACATGGAGAATCATATCCCCCCTTATGTAATTATACATGGAGATCATTTAATGAATCTATCCCTTATGTATTATACATGTAATCATTATCCCCCCTTATGTATTATACATGGAGATCATATCCCCCCATTACAGATGGAAGGTAAATCCCCCCTTATGTATTATACATGTGAGATCATACCCCCCTATGTATTAAAAGTCACATGGAGATCATATCCCCCTTATGTATTAACATGGAACTTCATATCCCCCCTTATGTATTATACATGGAGATCAAGATCCCCCCCTTATGTATTATACATGGAGATCATATCCCCCCTTATGTATTAAACATGGGGATAATTATCCCCCCTTTGACTATTATACATGGAGATCATATCTCCATCCCCTTATGTATTATACATGGAGATCATATCCTCGACTGGTTATGTATTGTACATGGAGATCATATCTCCACCCTTATGTAGTTAATACATGAGCATCATAGATCCCCCCCCCTGCCATGTATTAATCATGGGAGATCATATCCCCCCCCTTATGTATTAATACATGGAGATCATATCCCTCCCATTATGTTATTATACATGGAGATCAAATCCCCCCTTATGTATTATACATGGAGATCATATCCCCCCCCCCCTTGTATGTTAAATATCATATCCCCCTTATGATCATATCCCCCCCTTATGTATTGATACATGGAGATCATATCCCCCCTTATGTAATTATACATGGAGATCATATCCCCCCCTTAGAGTGAAGGTGTATTATACAATGGAGATCATATCCCCCTTTTGTATTATACATGGAACTTCCCATTGATCATATCCCCCCTTATGTAATTATACATGGAAGATCATATCCCCCCCTTATGTATTATACATGGAGATCATATCCCCCCCTTATTATGTATTATACATGGAGAATCATATCCCCCCTTATGAGCGATTATACATGGAGATCAATATCCCCCCTTATGTATTATACATGGTGATCATATCCCCCCCCTTATGTATATTATACAATGGAGATCATATCCCCCCTTATGTATTATACATGTGGAAGATCATATCCCCCCTTATGTATTATACATGGAGATCATATCCCCCCTATGTATAACACATGGAGGTCATATCCCCCCTTATGTATTAAACATGGAGATCATATCCCCGCCCTTTAATGTATTATAACACTGGAGATCACATATCCCCCCTTATGTATTTATACATGGAGATCATAATCATCTCCCCCAATATGTATTTACATGGGGATGATTTTCATAGCAACAGGTTGTATTATACATATTAGATCCTACCCCCCCATTAATGTATTATACATGGAGATCATAGTTACCCCCCTTATGTATCGCCGATACAAGGATCATATCCCCCCTTATGTATTTATACATGTTGATCATATCCCCCCCTTTATTTATTCATAACAAAATTATACGGAGATCAATATTCCCCCCTTATGTATAATACATGGAGATCATATCCCCCCCTTATGTATTATACATGGAGATCATATCCCCCTTATGTATTATACATGGAGATCATATCCCCCTTATGTATTATACATGGAGATCAGTCTCCCCCCTTATGTATTGATACATGAGAATCATATCCCCCCTTATGTATTATATACATGGTCCGATCATATCCCCCCTTAAAGTATTATACAATGGAGATCATATCCCCCCTTAATTATTTGGATACATGGAGATCATATCCCCCCTTATGTATTATACATGTAGATTCATGGAGTCATATCCCCCGCTTATGTATTATACATGGAGAACAAATCCCCCCTTATGTATTATACATGGAGATCATATCCCCCTTAATGTATTATACTATGAGATCATATCCACCCTTAGCCTTAATTATACATGGAGATCATATCCCCCCTTATGTATTATACATGGAGATCATGTCCCCCCTTATGTATTACACATTGGCTGAAGATCATATCCCCCCTTATTGTATTATACATGGATCATATCCCACCATATGATTATGTTGATGGTGAGTCATGGAAATCCCCCTTATGTTCGATTATACATGGATCATATCCCCCTTTATGTATTATACATGGAGATCATATCCCCCCTTATGTATTATACATGGTTAGATCAATGCCCCCCTTATGTATTATACATGGGAGATCATATCCCCCTTATTTGATTATACATGGAGATCAAATCCCCCCTTGTATTATACATGGAAGATTCATATCCCCCCTTATGTATTATACATGGAGATCAATCTCCCCCCTTAATGTATTATAACAATGTGGAGATATCATATCCCCCCTTAATGTATTATGCTATGGAGTCTAATTCCAACTCCTCCCTTTCTATGTTTATTATATCATGGCGATCATCCGCTCCAATCCCCCTTATGGTTTAATACATGGATGATTCATATTCCCCCCTTTATGTATTATACATGGAATCATCAATCCCCCCAGTAATATAATACATGGAGATCTTTTATGGGCACCTTTATGTTTGTTCTTATACTTGGAATGGGTCAGATCATTTTGTGCCCTTTGAATTATTTTTTCATGATTAACAAATCCCGCCCTTATGTATTAATCTTGGAGAAGATCATTTGTGATAACGATTGGTTATTGTAGATACCTCCTCCCCCCTTATGTAGTTAACATTACATGAGGTTGATTGTCTCATTTTCCCCCAACCTTTATTTATATACATGGAGATCCCCTGCTCCCCCCTTATGATGTTTTTATATTCAAGGAAGAATCAGGTCCCCCTTGTATTGTAATTCCAGGACATCATATCTCCCCTTAAGGTAACTTGATGCGGCTCACAAAATTATCCCCCCTAAAGATGTATACTGATGAGTCAGATACCTCCCCCCCCT